AACGTTTATTTATTTTTGGGACAGAGAGAAACAGAGCATGAACGGGGGAGGGGCAGAGAGAGAGACACAGAATCGGAAACAGGCTCCAGGCTCTGAGCCATCAGCCCAGAGCCCGACGCGGGGCTCGAACTCACAGACCGCGAGATCGTGACCTGGTTGAAGTCGGACGCTTAACCGACTGCGCCACCCAGGAGCCCCTAAAATCTTTTTTTTAAAATGGGGGATAAAGCTTGAAGGTGTTTTGCAAAAGCTCAGGGCTGGGTAGATGTGAAGAGCTGAACTGAAGATAGCCTTGTACAGTGCTCTAGCACAAACACGTGGTAGGCACTCAATAGATGTCTGTTGAATGAATGTAGAAAGCAAATGGGTCACCTAGAAAGAGATCATCCTGTTCCGGCTGGTGACAGCGCGTGTGAATGACCTGGAATCCTTTTCTCCCCGTAGTGGTCCTTGCTAGTCACCAGACCAATTTTTTTTCCAGAAGGGTGTGGCTTCCGGCGACCCCGCCCTCCCGCAAACCACGCCCCTTGCCCATCCTCGCGCTTGCTGATGTCCGAGGAAGTTTGGCCCGCGGGCGGATCCGTAGCCCTAGTCCCCTCAGGCGTCCGCAGCCAGGAAGCCGGGAAGCCTGGAGTCCAGGATACCGCGCGGAGGTCCAGGATGTCGGAGGAGCAAACCGGGCAGAGCGAAGGCTCCTCTCAGGCTGGTGGAGTGACTGTCAGCGACATCCAGGAGCTGATACGGCGCAAGGAGGAGATCGAGGCGCAGATCAAAGCCAATTATGACGTGCTGGAGAGCGTGAGTGTGGGCTCGGGGTTCCCTGGCGGGAGTAGGAGGAGCCCGGGGCCTCTTGACCTGGCACCCGGTTCTGGGAGGACTGGGAGGCAGGGGAGGCCTGTGCTTGAGCTCTCAACTGTGTGTCTCTCCCTCCCTGGGAAGCCCAAGGCGCGGCAACTGCGGCCTCTGTCGGCAGGAGGCAAGTAATATTAGCAATTAAGAATAATCGGTGTTGGTGCCGTAGCATGGGTTTATGGACCGCTTACCGTGTGCCGGGCGCTGTTTTAATTGCTTTACGTTGATGAGCTCATTTAACCGTCACAGCAACCTTTTGAGGCTGTTACTCTCCCCATTTTAGCGATGAGGAAACAGAGGCGTTACTTAAACGTGCCTCGGGTCACAGAGCTAATAAATTTTCAGATGTCACCAGCATCGTCAGTCCTTGTTGACCGTGTACCAGAAGATCTGTGCTTTGCTAACCCGCTCACGTCAGAGCTTCCTAAGCTTTCGTGTGTTTGGCAAGCACTGGGGATCTTGTTAAAATTTCAGTTTCTGATGAGCTCGGGAGTGCAGGTGCAGATGCTGTGTTTCTAGCAAATTCCCAGCGCTGCTGATGCTGCTGGTCTAAAGACCGAGCTTTGACTGACAGGTAAGGCTCTTTATCATTATTGTATAGGGAGGGAACTGAGGTCCAGGGTGAGGCAAACCCTAGTCTAGGGTCATGTAGCTGGGAAGTGGCAGTGGTGGGTCTAGTTCCCTGGTCGTCTGGCTACCAAACTGATAGTTTTTCTTATGTCACTTAGTGTAAAGCCACAAATCAATTTGCAGAGGAAGAATAAAAGACATCTTATGTAGGGTGGATTTTAGGTGATGGGAGTAAGATAGAGGCATCATACGGAAGCCAGGGTACCATTTTATTGGTGCTGATTGTATGCCTGAAGAGTGTTGGTTGTGTGTTAGATCATGAAATCCACACAACCACCCTGTGAAGTTAGGATGTTACCCTGAAGCTCAGAAAGGGGAAGTCATTTACTTAAAGTCTCAAAGTGAGATTCAGATATCAAGCCTGTTCAATCCAGAACTTGTGTTTTCAACATTATGCTAACAGTTTCCCAAACTTTAGTTACTTTCTACCTCAAGCAGATGCTGTATCCATATACCTCCTGTACTGTTGTTCCCTTGGTATTTTTCTTTAAGTTGATCCACTTTTTTACTTGATTTAGTTTAAATGAAAAATTTATAGCTCTACAGCATATGGGGGAAAATGGGATTTTTTTCCCTTTAATATAAAATAAAAATACGTATCGGTGCTATAATATGTTCATTCCTTGTCATTAGCTACCATCACTGGCTAAAAGCTTGAAGCTTGAAGCCCTGCTCTATGTTTGTTTTCAAAAAGAGACAGCAAAAACTATAAATCTCTTAGAATAAAGCCTAGGAATAAACTTTTGTGACCTTGGATCAGGCAAAGCTTTCTCAGATGTGATGCCAAAAGCACCAGCAACAAAAGAAAAAGTAGATAAATTGGACTTTATCAGGATTTAAAATGTGTGTTTCCAAAGACACAGTCAAGAAAGGGAAAAGGCAGTTCACCAAATGGGAGAAAATATTTGCAGTTACCTAACAAGGGATCCAGAAAATATGAAGAACTCTTCCAACTCAATACTAAAAAGACAATAACTTGATTAAAAAATCAGCCAAAGGGGGCACCTGGGTGGCTCAGTCGGTTAAGCATCCAACTTTGGCTCAGGTCATGATCTCACAGTTTGTGGTTTCAAGCCCCATATCGGGCTCTGTGCTGACAGCTCAGAGCCTGGAGCCTGCTTTGGATTCTGTCTGTCTGTCTGTCTGTCTGTCTGTCTGTCTCTCTCTCTCTCTGCCCCGCCCTAGCTCGTGCTCTGTCTCTCTGTCTCTGAAAAATAAGTAAAAAACATTAAAAAAAAAAATTGGCCAAAGACCTTAACAGACCCCTCACCACAGAAGATCTACAGATGGCAAAGAAGCATATAGAAAGATGCATCACGTCCTAAATCATCAGAGAATACAAATTAAAACACCCGCGAGGTGCTACTATGTACTGTGTATGTGTCAGAATTTCCACCTTCAGATGCTGGTGAGGGTGTGGAGGAACTCTCATCCCGTGCTGATAGGGATGCAAAGGTAGGGCAGTTTCTTACAAAGCTCCACATTCTCTTACCACCCATCCAGCAGTTGTGCTCCATCCTGTTTACCCAAAGGGGTTGAAAACATGTTGACACGAAAACCTTCCTGATGTTCATAGCTGCTTTTTTCACCGTTGCCAAAACTTGAAGCAACCAAGAGGTGTTGTTGTTTTTTAAGTTTATTTATTTATTTTGAGAGAGAGAGTGAGTGAACACAAGTGGAGGAGGGGCAGAGAACGTAGAGAAAGAGAGAGAATCCCAAGCAGGCTCCATGCTGTCAGCACAGAGCCTGACGCAGGGTTTGATCCCACCAACCTCAAGATCATGACCTGAGCCAAAACCAAGAGTCGGATGCTTCACCGACTGAGCCACCCAGGGGTCCCAACCAAGAGGTCTTTACATAGGTGAATAGATAAATAAATTGTGGTATCTCAAAACAATGGAATGTTACTAAGTGCTAAAACTAAATAAGCTAGCAAGATCTGAAAAGATGTGTAGGAACCCTAATTGCATATTACCGACTGAAAGAAGCTGGTCTGAAAAGACTACATCTGTAGGATTCCAACCAGAATCTGGAAAAAGCAAAACTGTGGAGACAGTAAAAAGATCAGGGGTTGCCAGGGATCAGGGGTAGTGGTGGGGATGAATAGGTGGAAGACAGAGGATTTTTAGGGCAGTGAAAATACCCTGTGTAACACTGTGATGATGGGTACATTCATTAAACATTGGTCCAAACTCATAGAATGTAAGACACTAAGAGTGAAGGCTGAGGTAAACTATGGACTTCAGTTAATAACAGGAAACAGTAGGTGTAACCCAGTGGCTTCCAGATAGAGAAGTGAATGGAATCTTTCGTCCTGCACATATGCATCCTGGGCACCTTTTCTGCTGCTGCCATAATTACAGCTGTGACGTGTTACTTTTATGCGTATTAATTTCCTAGGGCTGCAGTAACAAATTACCACAAACAGGGTGACTTAAAATGACACATTTAGTCTTTCACAGTTGTGGAGGCCAGAAGTCTGAAATCAAGATGTCAGCAGGGTTGGTTTCTTCTGGGGGCTCGGAGGGAGGATCTGTTCCATGTCATGTCCCTGTCCTACTTCCTGGTGGCTGCCAGCCGTCCCTGGCTTACGGTTGGATAACGCCAGTCTCTGCCCCTGGTCACACGATCCCCTGTCCTGGATCTCCCTTCCTTTTCTACAGGGATACCTGTCATTGGATTTGGAGCCCACCCTGAATCTAAGACAGTCTCATCTCAAGAGCCTTAATTACATCTCCAAATCCTTTTTCCAAATAAAGTCACATATACAGGTTCTGGGGGTTTAGGAGTTGGGGCATATCTTTTGGGGGCCACTATTCACCCCACTGTGGGTGCACCTAGCACTGTGCTAAGCTGTCCACACAGGTCAACTCATTAATTCTCATCGCGAGTGGGAAGGGAGGTGAGTGCCATTATTCCCATTTGATAAGCGAGGAGGCTGAGGCTTGGAGAGGAGTCTTAACCAAGGGCACCCAGATTGTACACGGCAAAACTGGGATTCAGATCAAAGTCTGACTGGGACACCTGAGTGGCTCAGTCGTTTAAGCATCTGACTTCAGCTCAGGTCATGCTCTCACGGTTTGTGGGTTCGAGCCCCACATCAGGCTCTGTGCTGACAGCTCAGAGCCTGGAGCCTGCTTTGGATTCTGTGTCTCCCTCTCTCTCTGCCCCTCCCCGACTCACACTCTGTCTCTGTCTCTCTCAAAAATAAATAAACATTAAAAAAAAAAAAAAGTAAAAAAAATCAAATCTGACTGCAAAATCTCTACCCTCTATCACACAACACGACACTTTGCATTGCCTTTGTGCGCTATGCTCTGATTTACGCAGGAAAAGTCTTTAAAATGTTAAAATGTATTGTTTTGAATAGGGAATATACGTCCATGGTCAAAACTCAGAGTCTACCAAAGGGTATAAAATGAAAAGTCCCTCTTCCCTCCCTGTCCCCCAGCCACCCACCCAATTCCTTTCCCCAGAGGCAATTGATGTCAGTGTGTCCTTGAGGGATGAAAAACCTTTTGAAATCCCTTTCAGATCTCTTTTTGCTTTCAGAAAGAACCGAGGGCCTGCCACAGCTGGATGTCCTTTGGGGTTTTCACTCCCCTCCAGCTTCCAAGGCCACCAGCCAGGTATCAGCTGCTGTAGGAAGGAGTGTTTGGAGGAGTCAAGAGGCTGGCCTTGGGGATGAGCTGCAAAGCTTTAACCTGCACTGTTCTGACTTCAAAAGAGGAGACTGGATTCCTGCATTTCTTGTGTTATTAGAAATCAATAAAAAAATATAGTGCCCCCACCTCCCCCCACCCCCCACTTTGAGGGTGGTTGAGGGAGCATGTGGGGAAAGTACGTGGCCTGTGCTAAGCGATCAGCATGTGGCGGCTTTTGTTACTGTCACCTTTATGAAGGCCGCACAGGGAAGGAGGTCTGGAGGACTTCACACCTGTGAAATCTTAACCATGTGTCTTCCCTCCAGCAAAAAGGCGTTGGCATGAGTGAGCCGCTGGTGGACTGCGAGGGGTACCCCCGCTCAGATGTGGACCTGTACCAAGTCCGGACCGCAAGGCACAACATCGTCTGTGAGTGGTGCGCGTGCAGGGCCCTTCCCGAGGCTGAAGGCACACAAGTGAAATCTCCTTCTTCCATAGTAATCTGCTTCCCCCTCTTCTGCCCTGATGCGATTCTTTCATTCGCCCCCCCCCCCCCATCAGATGAGGAGAGGAGGCGGAGGACTCACATACATAAGGTTGTTGTTAAGGTTATTAGATATATTACATATACATACATATTATTATTATTATTATTATTATTACATATTATTATTATTGGTTGTTATTATATATTATTATTATTAGTTATTATACACATACATATTGTTATTATTATTATTACATATACATATACATATTATTATTGGTTGCTACATAAGGTTGTTATTATTATTGGGCTATTACATATGCCATACATAGAACTTGAGTGCTCATTCTCTAGGGTTCTAAATTTATGGTTTCGTTTTTCATTTCGTTTTTAAGGACTTTGCTTCACTCTGGAAACTTTTTTGAAATGATAATAGAAGCCCAAGTCAAATATTGCTCACCATCCTAATCAAAGCAGTTATGTATGAGCTGGTAAGGATAGTGACCTGGCTGTGTCACTCACACAGAAGCGCTCAGTCCCTCGGTACGGACGTTTGGAGGTCGGCAGTGCAGGGCTGGCCGCCACATCCCTGGCTCTGCCATCCTTAGGACATGTCTAGCTTTAGGGTCACCGTGTCCGTGCGCCAAGCAGGAAGGGAGGGAAGGAAGAAAGTAAGGAGGACGAAAGGTCCTTAGCCAGCCAGCACCCTCCCCTCAAAGATCTGTCCTGGGGGCCCACCCCCACCTTGCTGCAGTGACTTCTGTTTCGCCTCCTAGGCCCCTCTGCCAGCAAGACATGTTGGGGGATGTACCCCACGGTGGGCATCTCACGATCCTAAATAAAATCATGTATTTGTTCGTGGTTGAGGAACAAGTGGAGAGAAGTGTTTGGATAGTGTATCAGTTCTCTGTTTTCTGCTGGAATAAATTCTCAGACTTAGTGGCTTCAAATGGCACAGATTTACTCTTACAATAATAAGGTGTCCAAATGGGTGTCACTGGTCTAAGGGGGAGGTGTTGGCAGGGCTGTGTTCCTTCTGGAGGCTCTTGGGAAGAGCCCATTTCCTTATCTTCTCCAGCTTCTGGAGGTGCCTGTGTCCTGTGGCTCATAGCTCCTTCCATCGTCAAAGCCAGCAAGGTCATCCCCCAGCTTCTGGTCCCACCGTCCCACCTCCTTCTGTCACTCTCTGCCTTCCTCTTTCACTTATGACCCTCGTGGTCACACTGGGCCCCCCATCTGGGTAGTCCAGGATGATCTCCCCATTCAGTGTCCTGAACTTAACCACCTCTGGAAAAAGCCCCCTTGGGCAAGGAAAGTAACATATTGGGCAGCTTCTGGGGACAAGGACGAGAGCACCTTTGGGGGCCATTATTCACCCCGTCACAGGCAGGCAACCAGCAGCCTCTGCCACAAAGTCCTGTTAGAGGGGAACTTGTCGTGCACATTTTTCACTCAGGGACCTCCGTTTTATGTGCGTGAACCTCAACTCCGTCCTCAGCACGTCGTGGTATAAAGCTGAGCTGCTCACTGGGGTCGCGAGTAACTGCAGGAGACACCGCTCAAGGTGCCGACCATTCCTCAAAGCTGCAGTGTGATCCCAGAACAGCTTCTTAGAGTGTCACTTTGCCTCGAAGATTTGGGGGAAAGAAGCACGCCATCTTTGTATTGAAACAAAGGGAAGATACAGGGTAGGGAAAAGCCATATTAAGACGATCAGACTGAGGGAAATTTGGGGCTTTTGGCTAAACCCTCAGACTCCCCAGGGATGTGGCCTGCTTTCCTCGGCACTTAGGATTCTGGGGGAAATTTGAGAAGCGGAGCCTATGGTGTGAGAGAGGGCACTGACTTATTTGTTTCCGGGTGGTTACCCGGATGTTCCAACACCATTTATTAAATAGCCTATTCTTTCGCCATTCATTTGAAATGCTAGCAGTATTACATAGAGAATTTTTAGACATATTTAGGTCTCAAGTTTTTTGCACTGTTCTGTTGATATATCTCTTTGCTAATATCACACTGTCTTTTTAAGTTTATTTCTTTAGTAATCTCTACACCCAACTTGGGGCTTGAACTCATGACTCTGAGATCAAGAGTCACATGCTCTTCTGAGTGAGCCAGCCAAGCACCCCGGTGTCACACTGTCTTAATGACTTTATTGTATTTAAGAATCTGCTTGTGGGGCGCCTGGGTGGCTCAGTTGGTTAAGCGTCAGACTTC